CCTTAAAAAAAGGTGTTTTTTAAAATGAGCTACAAGCATTCGTTTCTTGATGTTTTTATTTTAAAAATAACTGTCCAATGCATAGGGGTTAAAAAAAAAGCCTTATGAGTTCCGACTAATGGTCATCAAATATTCATTCCAGTCTCACTTAGGTTAAAAAATAAATAAGCTTCCAGGATGACAGCATGATCTTAGGAACAAAGGCATTTTTTTAAGGCACAAGGCAAAGAAAGGGGAGGCGGCCGAACTCCTTGGACCTAGAACACAGCCCTTCTCTACAGATACAGCCGGGCGCTGCGCTCCTCCAGCACTTCCTCCGCCCCACATAGATGCGCGCACCCCGCACCGGCAGCCCGCGGTGGCGCTGAGCTTTCCTCCTTTAACGTCACATCTCTGCCACCTGCAGAACAGCCCTGCACTCTCTCTCACAGACCGCCAACAGGGAAAACCACCCCATGGGGACTCTTGTAAAACGCATGCCTACACGCAGAGCTGCCACCGCGTCACCTCTGCGTCCGATGGCCCGCGAGGGCCAGAGCAGAGGTCTGCGCCACAGGGTTTTGAAGGACCATTTTTGGGTCCTTAAAAGTACATTGCTGGGCCTTTCTTCCCAAGCGCCTCTGGATGGGCTTGAACTTCCAACGTTTTGGTTAGCGGGGGTGAGAGGGAGGCGGGGCTCCTCTCCTCCTCGAAGACTCTACTTCCCAGGCAAGTGCCCTGCTGCTGCGGCCGCGGCTCAGGTTACAGAAGGTAAAGGCAGCTGCTCTGAAACAGGAACACAGGTCCTGGATGGGGCGTAGCTGGTGAAGCAGGTCCCAGGCAGTCAGCCCTGGTGCATGGAAGGAAGGGGAAGCACACAGAGGAAGCACTTCCCCGTTGGGGAGCGAGCGCGCAGGAGACAACCGCAGAGCACAAGACTAAAGGGTGTGGGCCCCAGCTGCCCAAAGCTGTCAGATCTGAGGGAGAGTGAGGCTGGGGCAGAGAGAGTGGCAGGCAGTGCAGGGAGCAATCCCTTCCTTCAACTTGGGCCTCTCAGTGACACATCCCTTCTGGAGCTGACTGGCCAATGAGCTTCCAAATCTAATCCAATGCGCTTAGATCAGTCAAGCTCCGTGGTTAGAGCTATTTGGGGTTTCTCCTGCAGTCCTGCCCTAATGCATCCTGAGTGATCTCTCTGTTCCCTCTTTCCGATCACCTTTGTGCTTCAGTTTCCAGTCCGAAGAACCCCTTTCTGTTCATGAAACACCCCAGGCTATATAGCCCCTGATCCCTCAACCCAAAGCCCAGATTCAGTATTCCCAGAGGGCTCCTGCAGCAGCACTTAGCAAACCCAAGAGGATGTGATGGACCCCATCCCTCCCGGAGAAACTGGCCCAGGAAGCACAGGCCATGGGAAGCCGGGAATCAGCAAAGTGTTAATAATCTGGCCAGTCCAAAGCTGGCTGGGTGAGGAGCCTGCCTGGCCCTTCTCATCTCCGAGCTGGTCTGCAATCATCTACAAAGGTGACCTCTTCCCAATGCTGTGCTTTAAAGGCACTCGAAGATGCACTCTGAGGACAGGAGACACTTGGATGGACCACAGTGGTTTGGGAACGGGTGGGATTCACTCACTTTCTTTTTAAAACTCTCTCAGAGGGACACGAGTGAGGGCCTAGCCTTTAGTCCTTGTACAGTATGAATTTGCAGGCAGGGAAATTGATGGTCCAGTAAGTGAAAGCCCTCAGAGGAGAATAAGCAGACATTTGGAAAGTACAACTACTATAAGAAAAACGTGACAGGCTGAATGAATAGGACCTGAAGCCGAATTACTGGGGCAAATAAAGGTTTATAATTAGCAAAATAAACACCCTCCTACAGATAGGAACTGGAAACACAGGGAAT